CACAATTTAGATCATATTTATGCAGAAATATTGAAAATTCAAAAGGGTTCATAAACTTTTAAGCACCACTGTATGAACTCATTGTTTTTAAATTTTCTGAAGCTGTTTCTAGCTGTCTCCATATGTGTGTGCACATGCAACCACTTCATGTACACATACACATATACTAAATTAAAAGAAATATAGATTGTAGACTTTAAATTTGAACAATTAACATTTTTTAAATTTATGCTGAGCCATGACTTTTAGTCTCACCCAGATCTTTTGGTGTCATATAGCATTAAATCTAACAGGACCAAAATGAGCAGTTTGTGTAGGAATATGAAAGTCACCATCAGATTTTGGAAGTTTGAAAAGCCTCCAATTTTGTGGAAAGTCAGTTTGGCAACATAACTTGAAAAATCTCAGGGGAACTATTTCTACCAAGGGGATTGTTTCTCCTTTAGGTTGTGTGCTCTGCTTTTCAAATAGACAGATGAGAGACCTTGCAAACTGTAAAACTTTCTAGCCAGAACCTACTGGGAGCCATGATCTGCACGCTCACCAGAATGAAAAGAACCTATAGAATAATGTAGCACTTTTGAGCACATCACATTCATTCCATACAGATTCGCCCAAGAGACCTTCCCAATCAACTGTTCCTCAGTGCAAATTGCTATAACATTTTATTGCTAAACTATATATTTATCAATAGTTAAATGTTGGGCACATATGAATATATGGAGATATTTTTTTTAAATGGCAGTTTTTTCTCAGCATTTTAAAACCCTAGAAATAATGGAGGATATAAATCTGAAACAAAACCAAAAAATTAAACCAAACATATAAAGCAATTATAGTTTTAGTTTTTAAAATCTGGTTATTAAAAGAAGTATATTGATATCTATATTCAGAATTTTGCAGGATGGGAACTAGAGGATTATACTTTGTCATTTAATACCACCATTGTCCAGTTTCTAGGGGGCTTCCAATTATACTGTAGTGTGCTTGACTTAATGCAGTATTTAAGAGAACAGTTGATTGGTTTCTTTTAAAACTTCAAACCCTATGGTCTTTCCCATTTGAAAGCAATACTGTATGAACTGGTGTCTTTCTTACATCTATTTAAGTCTGGCTATTACAATTGTTTCCCCTTTTTTTTTTTTAAGAGATGCAAAAAATATGGCTAAAGATGTGAATGATGCTCTAGTGGAAATCTTCATTGCTGAGAAAGGAGTTGATAAACTGGACGCACTGAAAATACTGGCTATGTTAAGAGATGAAAAAAGGTACCTGCAGGACATCTGGGCCTGAAAACTGGCTTTTTGAATTTGCCTGACCAATGTAAACCTTTTAAATGCTATTTCTGTTAGTAACTTTCTCTCAGTTAAATTTAAACTGTTTTCTAGGTAAATGACAGAGAGAAATACATAATTTCCAAGAGATTTTTCACAGTACAAGTGACTTTAAATAAATGTTGCCACTTATTCCCATCAAGAAAACCATTTTATCAGTGGCTTTTCATTTGTCACTGAAGTTGATTGATGGAGTTTTGTCTTGGATTTGAAAATATGGTAGCATATATGGTATTACACATCTCTACAGTATTTTCTTCTGTTAATAACAAAGGGAGGATTTTTTTTAACAAAGACTGTAGTATGCTACATGCAGTGTATAGAGTAGTGTTTCTCAACCTTGGCAACGTGAAGATGGGAGTTGAAGACCACACATCTTCAAGCTGCCAAGGTTGAGAAACACTGGTATAGAGTAGCAGGGGTATCATTCATTCATCAAGCCTAGTCTTTCTGCCTTAGAAGGAAACAAAACTCCAATGGAAAATTACTGAGAAAAGGTTTTACAAGTGCTTATTTATAGCTTATTTATATCATTACTCTCAGGTTAAGGATATACAGTGGTACCTCGGGTTACGAACACCTCTGTTAACGAACTTTTCGGGTTATGACCAGCTCCGGCCGCAAAAATTTACCTCGGTGTGCGAACTCCACTTCGGGGTACGAACAGGATACGCGGCCATTTTCCCTCCTGTGACACGGTCCGCGGACATTTTTCTGTCCCTGACACGTGGTCCGTGGCCATTTTCCGCCCCTGACACGTGGTCCGTGGCC